TATTTGACAAAATAAAATGAAAATCATTGGCATTCACGAAATCACAAGTGCCGAAAAAATGGCATCTACTTCGATTCGAGTCGATTTAGAGAAATTCGAATCGTGAATCCGTCCTTCGAAAGGACAAATGAACGACAATCTACAAACGGAAGTTCTCATTAAATAGACTGTGTGCATGAACACGGTAAATGATGAATGTAACAGAAATTTTAGAAACCGCGTCGATGTAATTTGAAACTAATTGTTGTTTTGTATACTGCAATTTCTAAATTGTCGATTGTGCACTTTTTCGAGATACACCTAGCGCGAAAACGAAACTGTGAAAAATTATTGTCTCCTAGAAAACAATAGCCAACAAATTACATTTGTTTCAACCGATTTAAATGCATCCGTTACGAAAAAATCTATACTTTATTACGCACCATTACCAATACCACTTTGATAGAAAGAAACATTCCTATGGTCAATACCATGAAATAACAATCAACAAGTAATTATTGTTTGTTTATATTCTTGCCTATTAAATGCAAGTTTACGTGACGTAAATCAAATCAGACTTGATGACTGTGTACTGAAGGAGAAATATACGTATTACGCCAAGAAAATATTTCGTATTATTTCAAATTGACATTCGAACCATTCACGTCTCCCAACGATCATACACAGTGGGATCTGGCAAATGCCTGTCGGAAATCAACTGTTTTCTTGGCTAATACCCGAGAGAATTAAACCTCAGAGAAATGACAGTAATTGAAGTTCCATTGATTTTCAGTACACCAACTTCAGTCCAAAAGTTCTGGGCTTATTTGTGTGTACCTATACTCCATTGGTTATGGTAATTTCATTGGAGCATCGCTTGTTAAGATACAGCTCCTTAAAGGGGGTACATAAAATTTGTATAACAATTTTTTTCACAAGCACTAAAAAAGTTACAATATTGAAATTAACCTGACGTTTTGTACTACCAAAAAGACACTCAGCCAGACATTTATTTGGTTTACTCCATGATTGTAAGGGGTGGAAACGCAACCCCTAAAATTTATTTCCAATGTAACTTTTTCTCTTATTATTTGTTTACCATTTATTTCCGATAGCCTGTTTCATTCTAAACAAAAAATGTCTCTTGGGTTTTTTGCCCAAAATGAACCAGTTCGGCATACACAAATGAGGAAACGGCTGATATGCATTACGTTTACGGTCTGTCGCAAGGGAATGGGTTAGAAGCTTCTAGAATTTATGCTGAAATGTATCCTCAACGGCAGCATATGGTTCATTCGACAAAAGAACGCAGGACTGTGGTCGCCATTGGGAAGTACGAACACCACAGCTTGAGGAAGCAGTACTTAATTTGATTGAAGAACAACCTACTACCAGTACTAAAAAGATTGCTTTCCAGCTAAATGTTGATCATATGACGGTATTTCGAATTTTAAAGGAACAACTCTTATACCCTTACCATCAGCCACGAGTACAGGCACTGTTACCGCGAGACTTTCCGAACCATCTTGAATTTTGCTATTGGATGCTGGAAATGATTAGAAGAAATTGTGACTTTCTGAAGACGATAGAATTCACAGACGAATGTGGTTTTTCTCGGGACAAGATTATTAATTTTCATAATTACCACATATGGGCTGATGAAAAGCCTCACGCTATTGTCGAAACTAATCATCAAGAACAGTTTTCTCTTAACGTGTGGCTCGGAGTTATTGGGGATGATTTAATTAGGCCTCATTTTCTACCTCCTCGATTAAATGGTGAGGCATACGTTCAGTTTTAAAGAGAAGTGCATCCAGTACTGCTGGAGGAAATTCCTTAGAGCGTCAGAAGGGATATATTTTTTATGCATGATGGGGCTCCTGCCCATTTTAGTCAAGTAGCACGTCAGCATTTAACTGGAACATATGCAAATCAGTGGATAGGTCGAAGAGGACCACAGAACTGGCCCGCTCGATCCCCTGATCTCAATCCTCTCGGTTTATCTATTTGGGGCCATTTACAGCATTTGGTTCATCGTACTCCTGTTCGCGATGTAGAGGACTTAAGAAACCGCATCATCGATGCTTGCAGGGTAATCAGAGAGACTCCAGGAATATTTGAGCGAATACGTGACTCAATGCGCCGACGTCTAGACGCATGCGTAATGTCTGAAGGTAGACATATTGAACATTTACTATGATTTCTACATGTTGTGTGTTTTGTTATTAATAAATTAGTTTTGTTCATTACCCTTTAATCGTTTAATGCAGGTACTAACTACAAAATAACAATAAATCCAGTTCGCATTTATGACGATGTATCGTAAAATAATTTTTTGCTGCGAACTGGTTTATTTTGGGCAAAAAACCCAAGATACATTTTTTGTTAAGAATGAAATAGGCTATCGGAAATAAATTTTCAAATGGTAAACTGTACCATTGTATTGTAACTTTTTCAGTGCTTGTGAAAAAAATTGTTCTACAAATTTTATATACCCCCTTTAAGGGGCTGTATCTTAACAAGGGATGCTCCAATGAAGTTTCTTTATATAGAAGATCCCATCTGTTTTTCGATGAGGAATCATCTCCTCAAATGTTTTACACTTATTCAGTTACACCCTGTATATCACAGTAGAATACTTATAACCAGTAGGCTCTCTTGCCACGTGATCCGCCCGAGTTGCCGGGGACCTTCAACCGTTCTTAGGATGAGATTCTCATCCAACGCGTTCAGTGCTGTAGTATCGAAGGATTCGACGGTACTTAGGTATCGGATTAGTTTATAATATACGGTCGGACGTTGATATTGTGTGTTTAGTTTATTACTGGTTATAAGAAACTTACCACAAAATCTTCTATAGTATCCTTAAATTTCATTTTTATTCAAGCGCACGCCTAAGGTATAAGGACGAAATTGGCCCCGCACTTCGTTTCGAGGTCACAGAGAACTTTGTGAATTTATGAATGAAAGTAGTGAAAGTGGACTTACTAGTTAATTTTTATTATGTTTATTGAAATACTGAGAGTATTGAAATATTTAGAACTATAATAAAATGCTATTCTAGTAAATGACGCAACGACGAATTTTTGGAAATTTCGCACAAAGATGAGTCGAATCTAAATATTTCATTCAATCAAATAGCATATTCAAAACTGCTCCGATAGTATAAATTGCCTCGAAATGAGAGTTAAAAATATAGGACCTTCCAAAAGGGACCTCCAAACTTTTGACAATTGAAAACGGCCATCTTGTTGAAGCTAAATCTGTCGAATTAGTTGACATTTATTCAATCTGTTTCGTCAATTAACCTTTCACGGGTATAGGATTCAACAATTCGTGCAAATAATGAAATTGTTCAATCAAAATGGGTGTTTTCGCGCGCTTCGCCCATTTTACGGTCGCCATTATCGTCCTACCAAGAGGTAGGTGGATGATTTTGAGTCCATTGGTTCAGTAAACGAGATAACAACACCCGTACGTCAACGAAACGCAAGATCTGCCGAAAACATTGCCACTGTCTGAGAGAGTGTGCAGGAGAATCCGAAGCAGTCGAGAACTCGGCCTTTCGTAGATCACGACTTGGCAAATTTTGCGTCGTCACTTGGGCCTACACCAGCATAAAATTCAACTGACACAGGAACTGAAGGTCAACGACCATAGAAAACGACGTATGTTCGCTGAATGGACTCTGGAGCAGTTGGTAACTTACCCTAACGTTAACAAAAAATCATCTTCAGCGATGAGGCCCATTTCTGGATGAATGGGTAAGTGAACAAACAAAATTGTCGAATTTGGAACGATACCAATCCACATGAGAATCAAGAGCGTCCAGTGCATCCTGAAAAAACCACTGTTTGGTGTGGATTTTGGACTGGCGGCGTCATCAGTTCATAGTTCTTTGAGTATGATATTGGCCAGGCCATCACTGTCACCGGGGAGCCGTATATGTTGATGATAATCAACTTAGTTTGGCCTGAATTGGATGATCTGGACACCAACAACAAGTTGATTCAACAGGACGGCACTACATGCCACACAGCTCATGCCACATTGGATATTCTAAACGAGCGATTTGAGGAGATGGTCAGCTCATGTGAAGGTGATGTGAACTGGCCACCAAGATCGTGTGATTTGACCCCTTTAGACTTTTTCATGTGGGGTTTTCTAAAGTCGCAGGCATATGATAAGCCAATAAGCCACAAACCACAGCGGGCCTCAAAGCCAAAATAACCTATGCCACTAGTCAAATTCAGCCTTAGAAGCTGTGGCGAATATTCCAACGATATTATATTCCACACAAAATGACATCAATAGGTTTTTCAAACGAATAACAAATTTCGATGGTATCTCACCCACTGTTTTATTTGAATTCAAATATAGGAAGCGCTTAAAGAAACACCCTATATAATAATTAGAACTGACGCTGAGTGGAGCAATCGACAGTATGGACCTGACTAACACACCCTGTATGAGACACATTTATTTTGTTTCAAGATCAGAATCTTGACCGACCTTATTTGGGTATTTTTGAAACTCCTTTGACATCTGTCGAGGAAGTTTAGAAATAGAGCAAACCAGCGGAAAAAAATTGCAAATATACATACATTTTTCCATATCGCCATAATTTCTTAGCTCCTTATTTGATAGTCAAAATTATTAAATACTGATCAATAGAACATTTGTCTTTTGAAAAAACTTCGAATTTACGCAGTAATTCATTAGAGGGAACTAAAAATTTTGCCCTTCCTACATGCGTTTAAAGGTTTCCATTACAATTTTCGTATTCATCAAATTGTGGAAGGTAAAAAAAACTCAAGGAAAGTCGATACAAATTCTGATTTGTTTTCACAATAAAAAGAATTTCGTTCAATATAAGAATCTTGTTTTAAATCTCGAGTTCATAAAATTATAATTTCAACTTGTTGACCCCAGCTCATAATATGCCATTAATTTTCTCGTTCTGGCATTCTCTAAATAGCACATAAAACATAAATGCATAAACTTGCTACGTTATCGCTTACCTCCTGAAGTGAATTCGTCTTTTTCGTCGTCAGATTTAAATATCTCTCCTGGTTCTGGCAGAATTTTGCCGTTTGTTTTTCGAATTTCTTTTTCTCGCTTTTGGCCCCTCCGATATACTTCTTTCGGAATTCTTCCAGAGGTTTCACTACAGCACCATTGGCGTTCTCCAACTGAAACGAAAAGAAAATAAAAATATTATTAGATGAATGAAAATTAAGACAATTATAAAAGATATTGGAAAGATCGCCGATCATACATATACCTATTAGAAAATAATATTGCTAAATGGCCGGACTGATGAATATGCTATATTGTATATTTTATGTATATTATTTTGTATACAGGGTGTCCCTGGACTTCCTCTTTTCCTCTCGGGAATGTATAGATGGGGTCAAAATATCACCAGTACTTCATATAACTTTTTTTCCTAAAATCCTTCGTTACCAAGTAACGGGCCCTCGAAGTTACAAAATGAAAAATGTTTTTCTTTGATAACTTTTCAAGTGAATATTCAAAATCATCCAAATTTTGG